TGTGTAAAATGACTTGTCGAATTAGACTGGTGATGGCGTGTTGTTGCAGACAGGTAAATCAATATCCCATCTAAGTTGCGATTGGTCGAAATCGGAGCACACAAATACACGAACTCTATCGGAGAAAACAATAACCGAAAATTACGTGGTTCGATTTGATTGGATAGACCCGTCACAATCACCTATCACATACGTGAGATAGATGTCAGCCCCGGAAGTGAAAGTCAGTCGATATTGATATTTGTCGAGAGGCAATGCAGTCTCCGTGAGATTTTGAATTTACCGAAGTGCTATTCACCTTCTTAATTTCAAGCTTTCGTACGTCTGTACTCAAACATATATGTTCATCGGGACAATTAGCAACATGTATTCCCTGCTATACATATGAAACTACTGTGTGCTTCGTATACTGAAGACGAGAGGAAGTTCTCCTTCCAGTGACGTATGCAAGATGGAGACAATTAGAACACTACACTTACGGTTTGATGTACGTGTGAATTGCCGAGATGTGGAATTAAACTAAGTGAATTACCTTTCGACAATACACGTATGCACAAAAGAGGCTTGTGTTTCCTATGGTGACAGCAAAGTAAACTCAACATGTACCTGGTTTAAAGGGGTTGGGCGTGTCTAAATGTGACGTTTGTGTGTATATGTATACATATATATTTCTGACAAAGCCTGTTCTTTGTAATATCTCGATACATTTTAAAATAAAATTTTTAAATGTGTACTAATAATTCTTAAGCGTAAGCAGACTTCAAATGCAATTAAACAACCACAGTTGCGGAAGAACATGCATAAGTGACGTGAGCCAAGATTCTTTTGATGATAAGAATAAGGTAAGAAATGTAAAATCTTTGAAGTGTAAAGCTAGAGACCCAAACAAACGACTGTTCTATATTGTGAGAACACTGAAATATTTGAGTGTTTAGTATCCCACAATCGATAATAGAACTCACACAATGCCATAACATAGACCATTTGCAACACGTCACTGCGCATCAAATTCAGCGCAGATGCCCCATTAACCTAACCTAACCCAACGTAACCCTACAGGAGTATTCTGCGTCAGCTGAACATGGCGCCCTGCGCACGAATTTTCGAAATATAACATGGATAGTCGGAAATTGCTAAAATTTTGAATGGACGTCGTGCCACAGGTATATAATAAGAATTCACAGTCTTTCGTGTCACAACACTTGTAATAAATTCACACCAAGGCATCAAAGTCGCGAGGTGGAAGGAACGCGTAATCTGTCAAAATCACCAATATCCGATTGTTTCATCAAGGTGTTATGCACTCGATATATTTTAAAAACAAATTAACATGTGTATTAATGGTACTTAAGCGTAAGCAGACCACACTTTCAAGTCAACTACTACAATTGCGTAAAATCAAACTTAAGTGACGTGAGCCGAGAATCTTTCGAGATCAACAAAAATGTAACCAGTGGAATGTCTTTGGTTCAATAATTTAAGAACATTGAAATATTTGAGTGTTTAATTTCCCGCAATCGAAAATAGAACAGAACATAATTGATGCATTAAAGTAGTCAACTTTCATCGTCACTGCGCATCAGCTACTGCGCAGATGCCCCGTTAAAATGATACTGAACTTGAATCAACCATGCATTTGCAACTAAACGTAACACAGTTCGACATGGCGTCGAGCTTGGTATCCAGCGTTTATTTCGCATTAACAAAAACGTATTTTCTTTGAAATGTAAGTTAAAAACACGAGTGGAAGAAAAAGTAAGGCTCGCAATTTAATAAGCACGTTTTAACCCAGATTTATGAGAAAATAAAGGAAAAGAAACTACAGCTCTCATTTCACCGCAGCTTCGACACTTAATTCGAGCCGCCAACATCACGAGCGCTGTTCCACGAAATTCCGCTAGGCCGCAGACATAAGAAACACTGAAGGTACTCATTATGTACCGTACTCACAGTTTCCCGACCCCCCCCCCCCCCCACCGTAGTTCATATTTCACGTACTTTGATTTTATATATCGACTCTATGATTGGTTGTTGCTGTAACTAGTTAGACGGTAGGATGAGTTAAGTATCGCTTTACTCACAATTTCATTTCTCTTTGTACATCGTGAATCTAAGAAAAAAAGCTGTAGAACTAGCTCGAATTTGAATTTTAAAAAAAATTCATTGCTACCACGATCTCGAGATTTATATATCCAAACAAATCAAAATAAAATAGTAGCAAATTTTATTGCGTTTTAGCAAAACTCAGTAGATATTACAAATCTTTAGAGATTTTCGTGTGGCTTGTAGTTAAGAAAGAATTGAACGCATGGTCGCAATTACTTCGCCTCTGTTCCGCTGTCAAGCTGAATAAAACCTCAAGCGACGTTTTCGGAATAATCTACCTGTACAGTGGTTTCATAAGATGAATTTTTCTTGATGACAAACGCACAGGTTTTAGATATAATTCCTTTTTTGGAGAAGGGAACAACATTGAATAAAAACGGGTAACAGGTAATTAATCCACAGCATGAATTGTATACAATAATTATTTCGCAAAGACTCGCAACTTACGGCCTCATTTCAAAAGCGCAGTTGAGGCAAATTAAACTTAAGACAGGACCAGGAGATACAAATAACAAACACTGAGTAGGCAGACGACAAGAGGCTTGACTGAAACCACAGATTATCTTGACGGTGAACTGACGGTTGTTTACGGTACGAACAAATTATTATTTCCACGAGTTTCATTTCATTACAGAAAAGAAACAAAGAACTTAATACTCATGTCGTGGAATTGCACTTCTGTAAAAAAAAAAAACATGGAAATAATTTAATTATTTTTCTCGAAACGAAGTCAGTTTTGCCTTTCGTAGCGTCCTTAAGCATCGTGTCACGTACATAAAATATTTTGGAGAGAGAGTTAAAGCTCCATGCATTTTTAGCCTCTCATTGCCACGCTCTAGTCAATATAACACAGGGGAAAAATGCTCTCCAGGCGTCTAGACGGACACCACAGTCTGCATGCACGTGGTGACAATGCGAAAACCAGCGTCACTTTCGAAAACCAAAAAGCGATCGCCCTGTGTTGATACAATCGGGAATGAAAACGTACAGAAATATATTTTTATTGTGTTCACGTAATGCAATTTGTGCAAAAAAATTCTTAATCACAGATCTTTAAAGTTGGATAAACACAGAACTTTAACACGACTTGTGGATAGAGAGTAACGCAGTTTTACTCAGGCAATTAACACGTATTTTTACCGCCACACTAAATTTCAGGAATGAATTACTACACTAGCAGGAATTTGCCAAAACTGAATATCCTCTTAACAAACACGAGATGAAGACATTAAATACAATTTCTTCCTTGAATAGCTTACCTTTTTTTTACTTTTAAGTATTTTCTCTGCTATTCGTGAAATATGAGGTACATCTTTCACATTGTAATTTTCATTTCATAATCAAAAAAGCAATTTCCCGCACATTTAGCGATTATAACAGCTAATTAATTGGTCTCGGTTCCGTTTAGATAATGGGAAGCTGACAGCTTTCATTTTCTTCTCAGTCTACAGGTTGTTCATTACCATCTGTTGTAATATTAATTCAGTCGCCCCAGAGAACAGGGAATTAGGTGGTCAGATCGTCCTAATGACTGTGGTGATACAACCGAGAAGCGAGGAGATTCAGTAGACAACATTTAACTCATGATTCAACTGCAGTTACACATGAATTTGAAAGAGGCTCTCTCCAGCAGCTCGATATAATCATATCTTACAACACTATTAGTGTTAATACAATGTGTCCGGTTACTTAGTTCGCCCAAGAATACCTAAGGCGTTAATGCAGGCGGTAAAGTTCTGAAATTGTACCGGGTAGGAATCTCCCCAGTGTTACGGCAACTGACGTTTTAATTTTTTTTTAAGCCTGTTCAAATTACTTCAGATAAAGTATAATTAAACAGGAAGGAAACCTGTCCCATCCCAACATCTTCGACGCTACAACGAGAGTTTCGATAATTAAAGTAAGAATCAATCAGACGATATAGCATTTACGCAATTGCAAATGAAAGAAAATAATTTCAAAGTGATATTAATAATTACGCATAAGCTTGGAGAAAGTCAAGTGGAAAGATAGGTCGGTACAGGATTTGATGGCAAATTGGCACTTTTGGATAACACGAATCAGTAACTAAAACATCCATAGTTTAAGTATTAATGCAGTAATTACCTGTTTGAATTATAAATGTGGGAGATTCTACGCTATGCACAGAACACTAACAATGCATGTGTGTTAGTTGAAACACAAGGCTGGAGAGACGTGCATTATGAGAAGATCCGTAAAATTAGATTTTGGGTTGGAAAATATAAGGCAAGAGACCACTTGGAAGATAATATTAAAGTCGATCGTAGTGAAACCACGTTACACGGCATGCATGAGGCTCTGTGTGGGGGACTCTGGGAAGACGTTACGGGAATTTTGTAACAGAACTACAGATAGCTTCTAAAAAGGGCTCTGCCCCATTCATTTAGTCAAATAGTTGGTCTTGACAAAACACGACACAGATTTTCCAAAATACAAACGGCACCAGCAACCAGCAAAAGACTGCGGTGACGACTGGAACTGTTTGCTGAAATATCAATTCGATTCTGAAGGATTTTGACGATGGTGTTACACCAGGTTCAAACACAACGACCCACAAATGTCTATTGTTTCCAACAAGCACGAAGCCTGGTCTCCCGATATTCAGTCGTCAACGAAATGTAAATCTCACGCACAACATTTCTAATACAATTTCAGCAACTTTTGGTTTAGAAAATTTGCTGTCCAGCACAAAAAATCCGTCCTTTGCATTTCAAATGGCACAAACGCCATGCGTCTAGTTGACGTCTGTCTCGAGGTACCATGTCCGGAATCGATCTCAGACCTGCCGGGCACATTTCTTAAACGGAACCCACCTGGTGCTCGATCCAGCCGTAGTCGTTTGTTGGTATAACGAAATACTGAATGCAACTCACCTGGCACTCGTACGTGCCGTTGTCGCGTTTTTGTACGTATTTGATCTGTAAGTTCCAGTCGTCTCCTCCCTCTGTGTGAACAACTTGGAACCTCTCGTCGTTAGTGTAAGTGAAGAGGCCCGACGTGAGGATATGCCAGTCCCGACGCCTTATCCAGGATACCTGCAAAAACCATAAACTACAAATCAAAATTTGTTCGCAACCATTCTATTTTTAATCATTTGTTTCAACTTCTGTGTAAATACACCATCTTAACTTATGTGTGGCTTGATTTTTCACAGCCTTATCCAGGATACCTGCAAAAACCAAAAACTACAAATCAAAAATTTGTTCGCAACAAATCTATTTTTAATCATTTTTTCCACTTCTGTGTAAATACACCATGTTAACTTATGTGTGGCTTGGTTTTTCACTCTCGAAAAACCTGGGTGTCTCCATCTTCGAGAAGTAAGACAAATATCGTCCTGATGCAGATTAATGTATATCTGGGTCACGAGGTATCGAAAGTCGAGATTTTCGATCCATCGTTTGGAATTTTCCGGTCAACTGTAAATCTTATCGGATATTAGCTCCTTCTTTGACCAAAATTTCGTAAAAACATTCCAAATTTGGGAACTACTTTTCCTTAAAGAGTTTGCTTAATCCACATGTCTTTGGTCTGAAATGACTCTTTAGAAACAAGGGAGAGATAATGTAATTCTGTGTTTTAACTTTCGTGTGTCGCGAATTTCTTTGCGAAAAGCGCTGAAGTCAAATATATAAGTCATTACGAGATAAATAAGCTTAAGTTCATTCATGTTTCAAACAGCTTATGACATGGATCCTAGAAGATTGCAAGTTGGAACGTGTAACTACTCAGAGTGCATCGTCTACTCGTGTGCTGTTAATGATGACGGATGACGCCGTGGGCCAGCATCTGCAAGGAGTGTACGTCCGTACGTCGGCACCGGCGAGAGAAAAACAAATGACGAGTTAGCTCACAGCCACAAGAGGAAATTACCATACTCACATAAAACAGTGCGTGGACCAACACAAATTCTTCCCTGTGCCTCATGCACTGAAGGATATAAATTGTAGACTTGTCACATGCCCGAAACGGATTTGTGATCAGATTAACCCTTTCCACGGAAGGATATAAATTGTAGACTTGTCACACGCCCGAAACTGATTTGTGATCAGATTAACTCTTTCCACATTCCTCATCAAATATGGACAACAATATTGCTTCCTCATATCTGAGTTCATTTTCATTTTAAAAAGTTAGAAGAAAGAAATATTTCCTATAGTCTCTTTAACATTTGAAGTTTTGTGTTTTTTCATTAATATTATGGAAATATATTAACAAAGAAGGATATTACGACAGAAAAACACAATCTACTGAAATGTTTACACATGACGCACATTTAGAGTTTCCACAGTTAATCTAATAACATGACCCCGAGAAGAATTTTGTTTAAGTTTCTCGACGACGTAAATGCATTTACCTTATATCTCCGTATTTAATATCACTCTCTTTCCCAACAGCACCACACGAAAAATGGAACTACATGTTTACCAGTCAATTTGTAATTTATTTTGTTTTGCATACTTTGTACTCAGTTTTTCTAGTGAAAATTCTGAACGCAGAGGAAATAGGAAGGAACAAATAAAAGCCCATCACTGTGTATTTAAAAGCAGGTCACACTGAATGGAGGTAGATATGTAGATCTTAATGAGATCTATTGTGTCAAACAATGACATGCGTGCACATGAAACATTGTCGAGGAACTCTCTAACAAATGTACAGAAAAGAGAAACTAATGGACTCAGAGTAAATGCCAGATTAGTCAAAGTCTTGTATGTGATCCCTGGTCAGCACTAGCTGCAGATTCTGAAGTGCACAGAATGAAGTGAAGCCTTTGCTTTGCTAATGATCAAATTTTTTAATGCAGAGAATACTAGGCTCCCAGATTAAGCTGATGGTTTCAAATGCAATCTTTCTGTCACAAGTGGTCTCACCTTCATACAGTAAAATTCCCATTTAATGTTTCCTTTTGAGTACAGTGAATTTGAAACTGAGGACTGCCTTACATGGAGAAAGCATAATGTTGAGATAATGTGGTTGATACAGAAAATTTAACTTTAAATGGAAGAAAACCTTAAAGTAGTTTAAATGGGGATACCACAATAATTATTTATTTATTAAGAAGTTCACTGGAGGCTTTCACCATACATGAAATTTACAGAACATAATGAAGGGATATCTTGCATGCCTTATGTACATTGAATTGCTTTTAGAAATGTGATGACTGTTGTAGTTCATGTATGCAGTGTTATTTAAGTTGAAGCATGATGCTTTTGTTTTCAGAGTGGATAAGTGCAAGGTGATGGATAGTAAGATGCGCCCTCTCTGGATTGTATTTGAAAATGATGATCCCTATGGAGATGACGTTTACATTATTTTCAAGAATGGTGATGACTTGCGACAGGATATGCTAACACTTCAGATGATACGCATCATGGATAAGTTGTGGAAAAAAGAGGGTCTTGATTTAAGGTAGCATTCTTCACTTTTGTAGCATAGTTATTCCTTTCAACATTGCACTATTCTCTGTAAAGATGGTAGTAGCAGTGGTCACAGAATATAATTTGTATGTGTAACATATCTACCTCATTTAGAAGTCCATTTAGCTAAGTGATTTATCTTTATTAAATCTCAGTTATTCTGATTAATGGTCCTTGGTGGGAAGGTAGAAGGGAAAAGACAGATAAGACATATTTAAAAGAAGAATTTTTTATGTTAAAATTGAGTGTCATGTTGTGGAGATTTATTTTTTAATTTCTTAAAAATAATGGGCAATTGAGTGTTATGAAACTGTCTTCTAATGCCAGATGTTACATTTAAAAAATTGTTTGACTCCAGAGGAATTTTTTTAACTTATCAAAAGTTTGTGAATATGAGTAATATATCCCTTACTGTGGTTCAGAGTCCATGTTAAAGGAAATATTGGCCCTTTCTTTTGGTCCTCTTTCTCACTGTCATCATTTCAGTGGGAGTTACAGAATCTCTCTTATGACTTCTGACATGTTAATAACAGATTCCTTCCTGAAAGATGAAAATCACTGTAACTTGGGTCATTATTTGTTGTAATTATCCCCTTTATTTGTTTGCATTTATATTTACACGTACTCTAAATGTACCAATTAGAGTACATATACACATACATGTATTTCCTGTTTTTGCTTTTACATGCAGTTACATTTATATATATATACACACACACACACAAAGAATATGCATCACATACTGTGTTCCTTACTTGTTCAGTAAAACTTTTTTGAGATTGTATGCTCAATGTATTTTCAGGTTATGAAAGCCAGATTGACATGGATATTAAGAAATGTTAGTACTGGAAACGTTTTTGAAATAAGTAGCAAGGAGCCTTACAAATAAATTGCTGAGTACTCAACATTGAAGTTACAAACACATATATCAAATCTAAAACTTCTTGACGATGGTGAAGAGTCAATTGAATAAAAATTTACTTGGATATTATCCATCGTCTAGTAATAAAACGTAAAAAACGTAAAACGACGTTTCGGAGATGGGGCTCTATCTCCGTCTTCAGGTTCCTACTCAGTTGGAGTTGAGATAGAGCCCCATCTCCGAAACGTCGTTTTACGTTTTTTACGTTTTATTACTAGACGATGGATAATATCCAAGTAAATTTTTATTCAATTGACTCTTCACCATCGTCAAGAAGTTTTAGATTTGGGATATTTGGTCCTATTTTTCAGTAATGTTCGTTAAACGTAAGGTGTGTTCCCAATAACGCTACGTTTGTATATTAGTAGAATTACAAACAAAATAGTTAGCCTTCAAATAATTGCTACGTAACATGCATACATATTTGAAATGCTAGTTTTACAATTACACATGAAAGCGGACATTTAAGAAAGTAATTTGAACTTATATAAACCTACATAAACCTCAAAATGGTAATAAATAGCTCAAGATAGAATTTAATAGAGGGTTCATTTGAATGTGTTACAGATCTTCATTCTTTATGAAAACAGGAAATGATCTGACAGCTATCAACTTTCTACGAAACACACTGCGCCAAGTTGTTAATTATTAAATTGGTTAGATACGAGGTTTATAAACAGTAAAGATCGTATTCAGAATGTTGAGTGTCGTGTTCTGGAAAGAGGATTTTCAACTAGCCTGCCAGTGCTATACCCGTTTCAACACGATAACCACTTGCTTTCAATGCAAACTTATTTAGATCAGTGATTATAACAGCCAGGCAGGACGCTTGTATGTGTAATGCTTACCAACATGAACAGAATTGTAACATTTGGGAGAAAACAGAAATGCACAAGTTGTATAAAACGGGCGCAGATTGGGAGGGCACGTCTTTTAGAAATAACAACTAGTCCTGAACTCCAAAATCGAAATGTATTTCAGCGAAGATTTCTGCTCGAGATTGGGATGGGGTTTTACCACATATATGGGCTAATTAACTTTGTTTTGAGGCTACCTGCTTTTAAAAAATCATCTATTATAACTTTACATATACGAGGTGCGATCGGAAAGTTTCAAGACTGGGTCAATAGAGGGCGAACCGGATGTAGTACGAGCTTCTGCCGCTAGGGGGTGCGGCCTACATTCATAGTGAATCAGTGTGCCAGCCGGCATCATCGAATTAGCATTTGTTTCTTAGTTAACGGGCGTTTTGGTAGTGCATTACACCGACCCTCCTGCGATTTCGGAATGGCGGATTTTCATGAACAAATCAAATTTTGCCAAAGACTCGCCAAAACGGCTACGGAAACCTATGAAATGCTAAAGCAAGCATTTGGGGAGTCCGCAATGGGTCGTGCACAAACTTTTGTGTGGCATTCACGTTTTAAAAATAGCCGAACCTCTGTCGATGATGACGAGCGTTCTGGACGACCATCTTCGGTTAATACCTGAGATAAGTGTACGGGTTTTTATACGCGCAGTCTGGAAACATTTCGAACGCACCTCGTATTTCCTCAGAAATGACACATGGCTCAAGGATCACGCACTGTTATGATATAACGTCATTTAAATTATTTTGGCGATACTGTAAACATAGAAATACAGGTGGAGTGTTGTATATTTTAGATTACATTCAGTTATGTTCTTTTATGTGCCATATATATCTGCAGCAGGGCTTTCCACGCCAGTCTGACAGGCAGCGTTTTTTTTTGTTGTCAAAGAATTTTTTGTACGCCTACTCTGAGGCGGAATTGACACTCTTTGTTGATGTTATAGTCTCTTGCATTTTAACAATATATAATCCACCTGGCCACTTTACAATCTGGCAAATGTAAGTTTTGATGGAACCCCGCTACGTTTCACGAACATTGCTCTTTGAATTTTGACTAAAAGGTCAGGCCTATATTAAACCTTGCCAATATTAATATTCAAGTCAATATTTTTTTTTATTCTGAAGCCCACTGACAGCGCCTCTATACAGACTTGTCCATACCGATTCCTGTTTTATGATACGATGGCTACGTTTATTTGTAATTCGGTGCCCTGCTTTGCGCACCTGTACAGATCAACCACAAAGGCTTCTGGTACGCCCTCGTGTTTTATTTACTCCTAAGAATATAAAGACGCAAGTAACCTTACAAGCCTGGCGCCGGATGCCGCGAGACGAGCAGTACTCATTTCTTTCCCCCATCGGAACACAGCGCGACTCCGCCAAACGCCTAAACGGAGCGGTTTTCCTGAGGGTAGCAAAAGCCTTGGACACCGTATGAGCCAAAAACATTCTCTGTAACCCAACCTTCGTACACATCCCGTCCGACCCGGTGTAAAACAGCCCCATACCTTGACTGAACAGAGTCTCAAAAGTGCTTCAGTTAGCCACATCCACGAGTCATGGTGTGGGGTCTCGGGGTGGCCACGACGGACTCCACGTAATCGACGTACCTATACAGTCTCCGCCCCTAACATTTTGATTGGCTGTTTCGAATGATTTACCTATAAATAAATGACATCTTATCTTTTGCATGAATTCGCCCTTAATTACGTTTATGGTTGGTTGGTTATCGTGGACCGACATTTGGGAACGGTGGAGCGAGTTGTTGGCAGGGACGAAGTTTAATTACGCAATGTGTGACCTACCTAAGAATGGTACGATAAAAACTACTGTGAAATCTGGGAAGAAGAATGAAGAAGTCGGATTATGACTTAATTCACTTTAAAAAGGCGCGGATGCTGTGTTTAAACGACACGGACAATATAGACTAACGCTTGCTACACTACGATTACGTTTATAGCAAATTAACACTGTCTGCAAGAAGTTAATATCACACCAACCGCTATGTCCTACCGCATTGTACCTTGCAATCTTGAAAAGAAGTTGTTGTTTTTTTCAGAATAATATTAAATCGGGGGATGTGGTCGTCTCCCGTGTGCCAGCCGGCATCATTGAATTAGCATTTGTTTCTTAGTTACGGGCGTTTTGGTAGTGCATTACACCGACCCTCCTGCGATTTCGGAATGGCGTGTGCATCAAATTTTGCCAAAGACTCGCCCAAAACGGCTACGGAAACCTATGAAATGCTAAAGCAAGCATTTGGGGAGTCCGCAATGGGTCGTGCACAAACTTTTGTGTGGCATTCACGTTTTAAAAATAGCCGAACCTCTGTCGATGATGACGAGCGTTCTGGACGACCATCTTCGGTTAATACCTGAGATAAGTGTACGGGTTTTTATACGCGCAGTCTGGAAACATTTCGAACGCACCTCGTATTTCCTCAGAAATGACACATGGCTCAAGGATCACGCACTGTTATGATATAACGTCATTTAAATTATTTTGGCGATACTGTAAACATAGAAATACAGGTGGAGTGTTGTATATTTTAGATTACAATCAGTTATGTTCTTTTATGTGCCATATATATCTGCAGCAGGGCTTTCCACGCCAGTCTGACAGGCAGCGTTTTTTTTGTTGTCAAAGAATTTTTTGTACGCCTACTCTGAGGCGGAATTGACACTCTTTGTTGATGTTATAGTCTCTTGCATTTTAACAATATATAATCCACCTGGCCACTTTACAATCTGGCAAATGTAAGTTTTGATGGAACCCCGCTACGTTTCACGAACATTGCTCTTTGAATTTTGACTAAAAGGTCAGGCCTATATTAAACCTTGCCAATATTAATATTCAAGTCAATATTTTTTTTTATTCTGAAGCCCACTGACAGCGCCTCTATACAGACTTGTCCATACCGATTCCTGTTTTATGATACGATGGCTACGTTTATTTGTAATTCGGTGCCCTGCTTTGCGCACCTGTACAGATCAACCACAAAGGCTTCTGGTACGCCCTCGTGTTTTATTTACTCCTAAGAATATAAAGACGCAAGTAACCTTACAAGCCTGGCGCCGGATGCCGCGAGACGAGCAGTACTCATTTCTTTCCCCCATCGGAACACAGCGCGACTCCGCCAAACGCCTAAACGGAGCGGTTTTCCTGAGGGTAGCAAAAGCCTTGGACACCGTATGAGCCAAAAACATTCTCTGTAACCCAACCTTCGTACACATCCCGTCCGACCCGGTGTAAAACAGCCCCATACCTTGACTGAACAGAGTCTCAAAAGTGCTTCAGTTAGCCACATCCACGAGTCATGGTGTGGGGTCTCGGGGTGGCCACGACGGACTCCACGTAATCGACGTACCTATACAGTCTCCGCCCCTAACATTTTGATTGGCTGTTTCGAATGATTTACCTATAAATAAATGACATCTTATCTTTTGCATGAATTCGCCCTTAATTACGTTTATGGTTGGTTGGTTATCGTGGACCGACATTTGGGAACGGTGGAGCGAGTTGTTGGCAGGGACGAAGTTTAATTACGCAATGTGTGACCTACCTAAGAATGGTACGATAAAAACTACTGTGAAATCTGGGAAGAAGAATGAAGAAGTCGGATTATGACTTAATTCACTTTAAAAAGGCGCGGATGCTGTGTTTAAACGACACGGACAATATAGACTAACGCTTGCTACACTACGATTACGTTTATAGCAAATTAACACTGTCTGCAAGAAGTTAATATCACACCAACCGCTATGTCCTACCGCATTGTACCTTGCAATCTTGAAAAGAAGTTTTTTTTTTTTTTTAGAATAATATTAAATCGGGAGATGTGGTCGTCTCATACTTACGGGTCGCTCTCCCAGGTTCCTCACGCGGCAGTGCAGGAACGCCGTTCCTCCGAGCTGCGCCGTCACGTTTGTGACCAGGTTGTTATCGAAGACAGGATCATTTCCGTCTCCTCTCGACTTCCCAAAATTCGGATGACCAAGGTTTTTCGATCCAGGGTACCGTTCTGTGCTTCTCTCCCCCAGCTCATGTGAATCTGGAACAGATTAAATATAATTTTAAGCTGGAACTCGACCCCTTACTGTAACAGTGGACTAAGCTTCCGAGAGTTTTAAAGCGTTCTTTTTCCTGAAATTCAAAAAATTCGGCTGTAAAATGAAGATCGTATTTGTACGTCTTCCGGTATGAATGTTCACTTTCGAAACCACGACAGTTCATACTGAAAAATCTACTTGGGAAGACACCGGAAGTTTTCGAATGAGTTCGCCGGACATGTAACGCCCATGGAGCTGATATAAAATGTGTAGTAGAAATTGCTTGTAAAGCCTGAAAAAAGATCTAGGTGTAGATGGAATAATAATATTAAAATGCATCTTAGGGAAATATGGCCGGGGTTACGTGTATTGGATTCATATACCAGCTCAGAGACCGGAGTGAACTTTTCTAAGCAGGAGTGACTGATTAGTCACTGCTGGTCTCCACTTCTCTTTTAGTGACCAAGCTTCTTACACGAGGATATTTCTTCCCACAGCTCGTATTCGTCCATAGTGGCATCACTTCATTTCCGTCATCAGTATTACCGAGATACCTCGACGCTCCGTAACTAAACCGAGAGTGAATTCCGGACGCCACTTCATCCTGGCGTCTTCCGGTGGGTCGGACGATATGACTCTAGTCCGTTCTGAATTCAATACACAGCATTCATCTGTTTCCGGTTCACGGTTTCACTTAATGCCAATACGCATTAATATGACATCTTAACGATTTTAAATTTATAACTGATATGATTATTGTTAAGTTATTAAAAGTATTAATTATTGTTCAAGCTCCCTGAAGATGGCCGACATAGACCGATCTGGTGTGAATGGTGGGAAATGTTTGTTACAAAACTATTAATAAAACAAAGTTCTGGGAAGATCTAGGCTTCGCTGAAAACAGAGTATTATAATGCCACCTAGAGGAAATATGAGGTGGTAGGGTGTGAGGTGGATTGATCTGTCTTAGTACAAGGACCGATGGCGAGCTCTTGTAAACTCGATACCGTGAGAGACGAGGAAATTGGCTCAGTGAGTGCATATCTTCTGAAAACTGAACATCAAAGCTCGTCATAGTACGAGATCCTGAGAAGCAATTCAGTCCAGGTTAGAGACGACGTCGTCGTACGTCACTAATATCAACTTTTTTATTATAATGCCGTCTCAGTGTCGGGCTTGGAAATAACCGCTTTAAAAGTGGTTCAACAATTTTTGACCACAGGGTCAGTCCACATCAGATCAACTCAGAAAAGGTACATTTTCAACCCAACCCCTTAAAGTGCCAGATTTTACTGCCATAAGGTACATAGATTTGTGACAGCAAACATCCAATTCTGTAAAAAGAAATCGTTTTGGGCACGCGTTGTCTTAGAAAAAAGTGGCATCTCTTGTGCCCTAATCCAGAAACAGGACTTATTTTATACTCGTGGCGAAGCTAGCAAAGTTCCCTCTCCAATGGCCTGTTACATTAAAAATTCGGTATATTTATGTTTTCAGGGTCTTCAAATTTGACCTTTAACTTCGTTATTCCCAAAATTCGGAACGTGTGTGCGTGCATGCGTGAAGAAGAAGGCAATGGCAAACCACTTCTGGATCATCTGCCAAGAACGTATATGAACAGGTCCCAGTCCGAGAAAAGAAAAGGATGGAAGGATCCTGTTCATATGGACCTGTCGTCAGACAGAACACTAAATAAATAAAATAAATATCAAGTTGGGACTGCAATACGATTTGGATTAGTAAAGTATTTTGCTGTGGAAATTCACTTCACTTATACTGATGAGCAACATGTTTATTCTAAGCCCTGAAGATGGAGAAAGTACGCTTCTCCGAAACGTTGACATCTACCGACCAATCCACACGGCGCCAGAACCCAAGAAAATATCAACATGTTTCATTTAAATTCCGTACATCTATTAATTTCGCGTTACATAGCAACAAATCTTCTTGTAAGAATGTTACTAGGCAAAAACACATTTTCTTTAAATAACTTACATGAAAAGTGAAAGTTTCTTTCATCCTCGTTAACAGAAGTTCCAGTTGTTTTTTACACATTTCTTCTGTTTATTTATTTTTATTAATATTTATAGCCGATATCCGGGCCTAGAGCAGTGACAAATCGACCACGACGGTCGGTTCCTCCGCTCTTTGCTTTCTATCTTCCTGGTTAAAGTCTGCATGCGTCTTCTTGAAGTTCCAGGGCTAACTTTTGCTAGAATTGTTCATTGAGAAGCCGCGTAGCGAGATACGTGTTTAATTCAGACGGTCCAGTGAGAATGAACAAAACTTCTATACACGTCATTCGATTCCTCGATGACAGACGTGAAATTGTGTGCATAAACTTTGCACCAGACAATTCCGACGAAACAAGTACTGCTCGACGCTAAATTCTATATTTCTGACTCCGTAAATACATCGAGAAATTTACATACTTGTACAAAAATGCCAGCCACATCTTAAAGTGCCTAATTACATTAATTAAAATCTTACGATTTATTCACAACGCAAAACTGAAACTTTCCAAAATCTTTTACTTTATGGACATCTACTAGAATAATAAAATTCGGCGATAATAAAGTTGACAGCACTGTTCGATCTGACAAGGAATGAGTCAAATCTGTTTTCAATAAACTTCTACCGATGCCGCGGGAATTCATGTACAAAAATGGAATCATACTTCAAAAAACCTGATATCATAACTGCTTTCTCATTTAAAGCACTATTTCCTTTAAATAAATTACAGATGAATTTATGGTGGCTTGTGAATGTTCGAGTTAAATCCTTGTTCCTCATCACTTCCAATAAAGTCACGTAATAATACCTGATAGTACAGTATATTCAGTCTGAGGAACACAGCTTGGAATGAATGAAATACAAAGTAAAAGTAACTACACTATTTTCCAATCAATGATTCAACGAATTCTTCAGTTGACTTTAAAACGGTCACGCTTGTCTGTCGAAATCGATTTTTTGAAGCTGATGTTTTCATTTGCATTATCAGTGTAAACATATTCTAATGCATTTTATAAATCAGTTGGTCCCGGAACTTAACTGTAGTAATGGATTAAGTACCATAGCTCAGTTGCTGCATTGACATGTAGGAAGTCGTTAGTTTCAATATATTTTTCAGGATTTCAATAGCAACTTCATATTTTGGTGACACAGACGACGTGCACCTGTCATTATATAGTTTATTGGATGGAAACTTTGATTCCTGGATGTGAAATTTTAATATGCAAATATTTAAATTGCAGAACAATAATCACTTCTGTTCATGCATTCAGACACCACTGAATTTAACGTTTACCAGTCATTACACCACTCAAATCATTACTGCTACAGAAACTTATCACAACTTCAACAGCAACTTCATTTAAAGTTTTGTTTGCTTTGGGATTGAGTGAAGACATAATGCCTTGGTCCAGAGAAAGTTCCTTTGCTCTCCTAATCACACAGTTCTAAGCACTTGGGAAAGTTCCTTGAACTTTCCAAAAACTCCACCTAGTAGGGAGAATAGTTATAATTGTCACCTTCAAACTTCTTGAAGTCGCCGATTCATGAAATTTTCCCTTCAACAGTTTTAAAATCTCAACATCAGGTAATTGAAGAACTGCACTTGAATTCGCATTTCCAGGGATATTATATATATATATATATATATCTTTCAGACCAGCCGTAATGTACACCCCTAATAATCCTCAATAGAAAACCAGTTTGAAGTGAGATCCACAATAAAACCTGCTTTTTTCGCAATTCCTCATCGAATATGAGTTCCAATTCTGTCAGAATGCAGCCTACATTCTGAGAGCGAAAAACTCATTTTACAAATTAGCATTCGTATACTGGAAAACACTGTTTTAGCGCGTGTTGACAGAACAGACACGCTGGAGGCATGGACAGTAGCGCCAATTTCCGTGGCTTCACATTGAGTTACTTTCGGCCATTCGGAGATAAATTGCTTCCTAACTGTTGAATATGGGGGTGAGACGGCGCCAGAAATCGGTTTTATACGCCATCAATTTATCGTATCCATTCATACTACCTTCAGTCTCAGCAAATATTCAAGCCTGGTGGGATTTCACGTGATTGGATCTTGATTCACGTTTCTATTATTTCCTTTGAAAACTGGATTCCAGTACAAAAGCTCTAGCCGATGAATATGCCATACAAACCGTCTTCTTTTTTAAAAAAATAGCATCAAAACACATTTATCTTCACATTCAAAACAGGTCCTGCTCCAGAATAAATTGTTTTATACGTCACACAAGACAGGTCACGAGAATGTATGCCACCTTCAACTCTTAAAGTATTGTATAAACACTACCAAGACAACAACCATTATACCATTATACAATGTCCATTATAACAGGAGTTCGTGACACTCTAGTATGAACGAAAGACAATTTAGGGGCCAGTTCATGTCTGTCTGTTCTTCTTACGAGAGTAGGCAATCAGCATGACTAGGAGAACCTCTGGTTCGCCCTGGAGAGCAGAAATTAACCCGGGTGCTAAGAAAGAGACATTTAAATTTGTGGTAAGCGATCTTAGAAAATATGTAACTTATGTTGGATGTAAAACAACATGGTGGCACTATTAAACCACATGAGAATAGTTACGAATTTCTGTCAGAAGAAATTACGGACATAAGTAGGTCACTCTATTACGACATTACATTAATAATTCTACCCCCGCATTAGGGTAGAGAGAAAACTGTATGTCAGGTGCCTGAGTAGAATATGGCCAGTGTAGTCGCTTTTATGTTCATAATTTCACACCTACTTTGGCAAAGATAAAATGAAATATATGAAGTGCATGTTACATGACTAACGTAGTTGGTTTCATGTTTCTTAGCTCGGAATCCAGCAATTTTACTTTGGAAATCACGAAAGCATATATCCCGCAAGTTCCCAAAAGTAAACCGAGTCACTATCAAAAATAATTATAATAAATTATAAGAGAGATATTAATGCAGTTATACCGGCTGCCCGAAAAATATGTATAC